GATTACTTAGTTATGCTGAGGCTGCACAGCCGACCCAAAGATAGAACCCATCTGGCCCTTGGGCTCGTATTTCATGTTCATTGCACATTAGGAGCAAAGCATCCAAATCAACACGATGGCAATTCGTGCGCCAGAAATAGCTACTTATTACAAACCAAATCAATCAAGCTCAGCTCGAATTAGCATCACCCGTACTTTCCTTCGAAAGAGGGCAAGAGATCGGACGTACCAAATGCTACCCAAGTCAATCAATCTGAAGCTCGCTGTGGCTGAAACAGAGCTCGTACAGAAGATTGGTTGGTGGCTGGAGAGTTTGCGGCCCGATAATCCAGGCACACATTCCAGCGATGTGGACAGCACCCAAGCTCTGTGCTTTGATACAGGGTAGGTGGCAGCACATTGTTCCTGCCGCCCTGGAGGCCACAGTGGACAGGGGCTCATCACCGCCTTGGTGCTACCGTGGAGCCAAGGCCACATCACAACTTCGTCCAAGCTAGAACCGCTAATCTTCCCCCAAGTCCATGGTTCGAGCTGCGCGCACATCAGTCGCTCTCCAGGCTTGTGGTCCGCTGTTCCTATCCTTCAATCTCTCTTGAACCGCTTTAGCAGGCTGCTGGTTGTGCCTGAGCGCCCACAGCTCCCTGGTCCCCAACACGAGCGGTGTCCCCTTGGAATAATCCGTCGCAATTCGAGGCACCTCCTGCCATCACCCCCGGCATCTCCCCGTCGTTATACGCTTTTCTCCCCTCGAATCGCTCGATAGAAGCTACAGATCGGCTCAATTGATATCACCATGAGGCTGGATGTGAAGGTTGGTCAAGCCCAGACTTGCTGCAATTTTGGACACCACATATGCCCCGCCATCATGCTTTCAGATGCTCCCAGCCCAGGCACCAGCAACTCTCTCGACCCGGATTCCATGCTAACTCTTGTTCAAATATAGCGCCAGCTCTATGCCCGCAGCGAGCGGGTGAAGGGCATCGACTTTCACCCTCAGGAGCCATGGATTCTCACGACCCTTTACAGTGGTATGTTCGGACAACCTGTCATTTGCCTCCCCCTCCCTTTCGTTGCCAGGAACATCTCCTAAATCCGACTTTCGCATTCTAGGACACGTCTACATCTGGTCATACGAGACGCAACAAATTGTCAAGACCTTTGAGCTCACCGATGTCCCCGTCCGTGCCGGTCGATTCGTCGCCCGCAAGAACTGGATTGTCTGTGGTTCCGATGACTTCCAGATCCGAGTCTACAACTACAACACCTCAGAGAAGATCACCTCGTTCGAAGCACATCCCGATTACATTCGCGCCATCGCTGTTCACCCCACGCAGCCTTTCGTTCTTACCGCTTCCGATGACATGACCATCAAGCTTTGGGACTGGGAAAGGGGCTGGAAGTGCGTGCAGACCTTCGAGGGCCACAGCCACTATGTCATGGGTCTCGCCATCAACCCCAAGGATACCAACACATTTGCCTCGGCCTGTCTCGACCGAACCGTCAAGATCTGGAGCCTTGGCTCTCCCTCGGCCAACTTCACCCTCGAAGCTCACGAGACCAAAGGTGTCAACCACGTCGACTACTACCCCCATTCCGACAAGCCCTACATTCTCACGACCTCAGATGATCGCACCGTCAAGATCTGGGACTACACTACCAAGTCTCTGATCGCCACTCTAGAAGGACACACCAACAATGTCTCTTTCGCTTGCTATCACCCCGAGCTTCCCGTCATTATCTCCGGTTCCGAAGACGGCACGATTCGCATCTGGCACGCCAACACTTACCGCTTCGAACAATCGCTCAACTACAGTCTGGAGCGCGCGTGGTGCGTCGCTTATCAGAAGGGAAAGCAAGGTATCGCCGTCGGTTTTGATGATGGTGCCGTCGTAGTGAAGCTGGGTCGTGAAGAGCCTGCTGTGTCCATGGATGCGTCAGGAAAGTTGATTTGGGCTAAGCACAATGAGGTTGTCTCATCCATTATCAAAGGTGGAGGTAAGCTTTCTCCTGAACTCCGAGGGGTATTGGCGTGTAGAGAGGTTCATTTTCCCATATGCTGACCCATCTCCAGATGCCTCCGTAAAGGATAACGAGCCCATTTCACTCCCGACCAAGGATCTCGGAACCTGCGAAGTCTACCCCCAGACCCTCCTCCACTCCCCCAACGGCCGATTCGTTTCCGTCTGCGGCGATGGCGAATACATCATCTACACTGCGTTGGCATGGCGCAACAAGGCATTCGGTTCTGCCCTCGACTTCGTATGGGCCTCCAAGGAGAACAGCAACGACTTTGCCATCCGCGAGTCAGCCATGAGTGTCAAAGTTTACAAGAACTTTGTAGAAAAGAGCGAGGGTCTAGATGTTGGCTTCCAGGCCGAGGGACTTGCTGGCGGTGTTCTTCTCGGTGTTACCGGACAGGGTGGTATTTCCTTCTTCGACTGGAATACCGGCGGTCTGGTGCGACGCATTGAGGTTGAGCCAAAGCAGGTACGTGATCGACAACTGGCTCGGCAATACTGCGTTTCATTCCAGGTACTAATAAAGGATGCAATAGGTCTACTGGTCAGAGAGCGGAGAACTCGTGACTATTGCTTGCGAGGACAGCTTCTACGTCCTTCGATTCTCGCGCGAAGCCTACGTTGAGGCAGTCCAGAACGGCCAGGTTGACGATGACGGCGTCGAAGCAGCCTTTGATATTATTACCGACATTGCTGAAACGTACGTGATTATCGCATTGGCGCCGGTTCATGTTGCTAACATGCATGTCTAGTGTTCGAACCGGAGAATGGGTTGGAGACTGTTTCATCTACACCAACAGCACAAACCGACTGAATTACCTCGTGGGCGACCAAACATATACCGTATCGCACTTCGACAAGCCCATGTACATCCTCAGCTACATCCAGCGAGACTCACGAATCTACCTGGCCGACAAGGATGTGGGCGTCACATCATTTGCGCTTTCTCTACCCGTTCTCGAGTATCAGACCCTAGTGTTGCGTGAGGATATGGAGACAGCGGCGGAACTCCTCCCCTCGATCCCCGCGGACCAGCTCAACAAGATTGCACGATTCCTGGAAGGTCAGGGCCACAAGGAATTGGCATTGGAGGTGGCGACCGATCCCGAGCACAAGTTCGAGCTGTCCCTGGCTCTGAACCACTTGGACGTCGCTCTGGAGCTGGCAAAGGAGGCCGACGCAGATCACAAGTGGAAGACGGTTGGCGATGCTGCTCTGTCAGCCTGGGACGTCGCCCTTGCCGCGGAGTGCTTTACCCATGCCAAGGATCTCGGGTCATTACTACTTCTACACTCGTCAACGGGAGACCGTGACGGACTGGACGCCCTGGCCAAGCAGGCTGAGGGCACGGGGGCTCATAACGTTGCCTTCTCGAGTTACTGGCTCCTGGGTGAGATCGAGAAGTGCGTCGAGCTGCTCAAGAATACTGGCCGTCTAGCCGAGGCCGTGCTGTTCTCACAAACCTACAAGCCTAGTCTGACGGCGTCGGTCGTGTCAGATTGGAAGGAGAACTTGGACAAGAGCAAGAAGGGCCGCGTCGCCAAGCTGATTGGCGTACCGGGTGAGGACGATGACCTGTTCCCTGAGTGGGACGAATGGCTCAAGCTTGAGCAGGAGGGCGGGAACGCAACCGAGATCGCCGAAGAGGAGGCTGCCGAGGCGGAGGAGGCTGAGGAAGAGTAGGGATGCGACAAGGAGGGAAACACTTGATGATCAGACGCCGCCAGGGAATGACGGGAAAAACAAACGTCATCCAAACGGCGAAAGAATTGGTTCTATTTTTGCGCGGATGGCATGAAGCTCTTCTTTCTTCTTTTCATTCTTTCTTCTTTTCATTCTTTCTTTGTAGCATGTGATATGCCCGGTGTCAAAAAAGTGAAGGGTGGTAGTCTTTGGCTGTGTTTGTTCACTGGTTGGCCGCGGGTTCCTGGAGGGACTGGGCTACTGTCCTATGGAGTAGGGGCTAAGCTACATCAATGAGGGAAGGGGAACGATATAGGATGAAGAATCTATAGATAATGAAACTGTTATGCTGGTATTACTTGATTGAAGAATGTCTTTGTGAATGGGGGTTTCGTTGACAGGACATTGTAATGTAGGTAGGTCATTACTGGTTATGGCTATAGAATGTTAGAAGGTGAGATGTCAATCAAGGGTGGAACTTCGGAACAACCCACCTTCGGGGACAGTAGGTCTAAGAACAAAAACATGACGAGGCATCTAACTACCTCTTCACATCATCCCGGGTACGCTACCAGCCATGCATATATATGATCCCAAAGAAGTGAAAACGACGGATGCGAGGGGATGGTGTCTCTAGTATAGGGTAGGCGAGAAGAGCTACGGAGAGTAAGGCTGAGCTCAAATTATGGAGTCAAATTAGGCGACACATCCAATCAGCGATGGTGCCGTTTGCCGGGCAGAAGGCGGAGCAAAGTGGAGAGTCAGCAATAAGGATTGATCTGAGGATGATGGATGATGAATCCGCACAGCCCCAGCGGGCGCAATGGACGATGGCGATTGGTCCGGTCGCCAAAGCTTGTGTTTTGGATCTGATCTGGCTCCCGGCATGGGCTAGGAGCCACCCAAACGGGCGATCAAGCTTCAAATTAGCCTCCACGAGTGCTCAGTCTTCCTCGCGCCCCTGGTTCTGACAGCCCCCAAAGCAGCTAGAGAGTGAGAATTGCCGACTCAGCCAACGAGGCCATCCCCGCCATGTTCGGTACGGGCCCTCCTACCGCCCTATCTGGCGGAGTTGCGTGTGCTGTAGATGGTTGTGACGCGGCCCTGGTGCAAGGCAATGTGATATAATTTTAGAATTGTCAGGGCTGGCCGAGAACCGGGCTTTGCGATATGGTTGAGGAAGCATATAAGAGATGTGGGATCGTCTCGAGATGGAGTTGATTCATCCTTCCATCTCATCCATCAGACAAGACATCTCCTTCTCAGTCTCCTCTCCCTCACATATAAACCAATCCAGCCATGGCCAGCCCTACGACCACCATCGCCGAGCTGGTGTCCAGGACTACCGAGTCTGCCGTCGTCTCTTGCACCACTGCCGTGCCCGACGAGAACGGCTACGTCCCCTCTGACGCGTGCAATGCCAACTATGGCTTCTACCCCAGCTTTGCCGCCAACTGTGCCTTTGCCGTCATCTTCGGCATCAGCTTCTCCGCCCACTTCGTCCAGGCCATTGCCTGGAAAAAGAGATTCTGCTGGGTCCTGCTCATGGGTGTCTCGTGGGAACTGCTCGCCTTCATCATCCGAACCGTCGGAAGTAAGGATCAGCAGAACATGGGATACGCCATTGCCGGACAGCTCTTCTTCCTCCTCGCCCCTCTCTGTAGGTTCTCCCCGGATTGCCATCCCATACACCCACGAACCTGGACTGACATTACCCGAAAACAGGGATCAACGCCTTCGTCTACATGACCGCCGCCCGCGTCGTTTACTACGCCGTCGACGACCAGTCTGTCTGGCGCATCAAGGCCACCTGGCTGACCCAGATCTTCGTGTGGATCGATGTCGTGTGCTTCATCATCCAGGCCGGCGGCGGCATCCTCATGTCCAACTCCGGGCCCGAGGCCGACCAGCACCTCATCGACATCGGGAAGAAGATCTACATGGCCGGCTGCGGCGCCCAGCTCGGCTTCATCACCGTCTTCATCGGGCTGATGGTCAGGGTCTACATGAAGATGCGGGCCACCCCCAGCCTCGAAGCCAACATGTCCCGGGCCATGCTGCTCTTCTGGGCCCTGACAGGCGTCCTCCTATTCATCGTGGTGAGTGTCCGAAAGCCCGACATCACAAGAAATATAAAGCTGACCTGCAATCACCAGATGCGCATCATCTTCCGCCTCGTCGAGTTCGGACCCGGCGCCGGCTCGGACAACGAGATGCTCACCCACGAGGCGTACGCCCTCTGCCTCGACGCCCTCCCCATGGCCCTCGCCGTCCTCCTCCTCAACGCCGTGCACCCCGGCTGGGTCCTCCGTGGCGCCAACAGCGAGTTCCCCCGCGCGACGCGCCAGGAGAGGAGGCAGGCCAAGGCGGAGAAGAAGGCGGCGAAGCAGCAGGCCAAGCTGGATAAGAAGATGGCCAAGGAGGAGAAGAAGCTGAAGAGGCGCGGCGACGCGACCTTTGTCGCGCTCGATAACGATTCCAGCTCGGTTGAGGAGTTGGAGATGGGGATGGGGCCGAGGCAGACTGCGCCGCTGCAGCCGTACAGTCCTTACGGGGGGCATCAGTCTGAGTATGCGACCTATGAGGATATTGGCGATAGCGGGCGCAGGGTTTGAGTCGGGTCGCTTCTGGACTCCCCAGCTTGTTGGCTTTTTGTCATTGATGGATAATTGATGGGTTAATGGAAGAGCGCTCATTTAGATTTAGAATGGAGGGACGACTTGGGTAGCGTCCGTTTGCATAGAGTTTGGTGTTTCAATTGGATTTTGGGTAGACAACATAGACATAATGATGACATTTCTTGAACATTATCTGCGCTTAAAGAAATCCGGACCACTCTTGATATGACCGACGTGAAGTCGCAGTCCCTTTCCAAACGTATTGTCCCTCATATTCGCCCTGACGGGCCCGAGGTTCTTGTGTTCCGCGATTTCATAACCGGAATTTCCGACCAGCATACTGGCGTCCTTCCCCGCCTTATTCTTGTGCCAGTCCAGTCTGTTCGACCCTTCTATGTGCGTGCCGCCCGCCGAATCCTGGCCCGCCAACCGCCGTACCAGGGAAGCTAGTAGGGATTGCCCTGTTTCATCATCTTGTGTGAGATTCTGCTCTCTGGGCTCGAGCCGCTCGGCAAGTACGAGTTGCTGCCCGCAGAGCTCCCGGACAGTGTCATTGATCCGCTGCAAATCACTTCGAGCCACGCGGAAACCACTGTCGAGACTATCAGTGAGCCCGATGTGAATGGTGGTGATACAGGCGTGCAGCTCGCCCCTCGCGTGGGCAAGACGATTGAGAATATCATTGACCTGTTTGTCCATCTCATCTCCGCTGATCAGGGACTTGCCAAACTGCTGAATCTTGTGCCTCTTGGCGTCTTCCTCCCTCTCATCTAGGGCGGCCTGAAGTTCTTTTTCGATAATCAGAATGTTCTCCATTGGCTGCTTGATCTTGTCCACCTGAAGTATGGGCTCCCTGTTGATGGCATCAAGCGTTGCCGAGGTGGAGTCGATTTGCGTCTGAATGTCGAGACATGTCTTTTTGGCCATTTTCACGCGATCGAGGGCCTTGCGAATGGTATGAATGAGCTCGATGCTCTCGGAGATTAGGCTGCCGAAGATGGTGCCTGACTTTTCACACCCATTATAAGGTCAGAATGAATAATATCCCTCAAAGAGGCTGGGGCTGGGGGTCCTTACCATGTTGTTGGTACTGTGTTCTGTCAGTAGATGATTCTATTATCAAGAGAGGCGGATGCAGTGTACTGTAAACATTAAGATTCTACTGAGAGCTGTGAGAGAAACAGTTTGACACGATATCCAAGGCCTGGGCCGAAAGATTCCTTCATGGGCATGTGACGATGGCTATGCTTGCCACTCTGCCATGTTGTCATCGTCTGATTGGGCCAACACTGCACTGCTGAGGCCAGTGAGGTCTCTGGATTTTAGGCTGTAACCGTTTCCCTCGGCTTTTCTAATGCTGTCGGGCACCAAGTCAAAATCCTAATCACAGCGATTGCTCGTCATAGGCACACAAAGGGGATGTTCCACGCCGGGATGTTCTCGTACAACATGAGCAACAATATGGGAACATTTATAATTACTATTGTCACACAGAGTACATTTGGGGACAATGCAGCTATTTTGGGTGGTATCACAAATGTCCTGATTAGTGATTCGCTTCCCACTGCAGGTGGTGCTACCTACGACTCCTTTGCGGAGCGGCATAACGCGACATGCCTCGCCAATACGAGAACGGACCTCCTCAATCAAATCCAAGGCAGGCTCGAATCGGAGATGAGCGAGTTCATCATCATTTGGCTTAAGGGGATGGCGGGGACGGGGAAATCGACCATTGCTCGCACAATAGCGAAATGGCTACGCGAGGCAGGAGACCACAATACGCTCAATGTCAACTTCTTCTTCAAGGAGGGCGATCGAGATCGCGGACATGCCCAACTCTTTTTTACAACCATCGCATTTCAGCTCAAAACATTGGACAGCGATCTTGGTAGCCTCATCGACTCAGCCACCAAGGCAGACCCAGGCATCCACCACAAGGGCCTGGAAGAGCAGTTCGACAAGCTCATTATGCAGCCCTTGCGTGCCGTCCAAAAGTCCATGATCATCACCATCGTTGTCGATGCTTTGGATGAGTGCGACGATGGCAATCTCATCGTCACTTTGCTGGCGCAGCTGAGCGAGATTCCCTCCCTCACTATTCGCATATTTCTCACGAGCCGGCCTGAGGTGCCATTTCGTCTTGTTTTCAAGAAACTTACCTGCCAGTACCAGGATATTAGCCTCCATGAGATCCCGCACTCTGTTATTAAGCAGGACCTGACGACATTCTTCATTCACGCGCTGGGGGAAATTAGAGACAAACAGAATAACATCCGTCTGCATGATGATCAACTTCCGCCAGATTGGCCTGGACCAGAGAATATCCGACTCTTGGTCGAGATGGCTAGCCCTCTGTTCATCTCTGCCTCGACCATTTGTCGCTTCATTGACTCCAATAGTATCCCTCCAGAGGAACAGCTCCATAAGATACTGGCGTGCCGGCACACTATCCAGTTGGAGGGTGTTTATGCGCCAATTCTCAGCCAGTTGCTTTGTAATGTGACAAAGAACGACCAGCGGGGTGTAGTAGAGAACTTCAAGAAAGTTGTTGGCTCCGTGGTGTCACTCTTTGAAACTCTATCCGCAAACTCCCTTTCTGCACTCCTCGGGGTTCGTCGACGCAAGGTTGACCCAATATTGTGTCAGCTTCATTCCGTGTTGATTGTCCCTTCAGATCCAGATGCCCCGATAGAGATGCTGCACAAATCATTCCGCGATTATTTGTTTTCCAAAGGAAAGAGTGGGCAGAAACCACACCAGTTTTGGGTGGATTCTCGAAAATCTCACGAGAGAATCGCCAGCCGCTGCCTGAAAATTCTCGAAAACAGCCTGACGCGAATCTTCTCCCGGCTGACATCGCTTAGAACGTACTTGGGAGACATCACAAATGAAGTACGTGATTTAATCCCATCTCACGTGCAATATGCCTGCCGGAATTGGATCTATCATCTGAATCATGCAAACTGGACACTTCGAATTGAAGCACAAGTCGAGTCTTTTTTCGAGAATCACTTTCTTCATTGGGCCGAAACACTCCTCTTCATTGAGTCACATCGTCCACAGACAATGGAGCAACTTGCATATGTGAGTTTGTCCTCCTATTAGCGTGGCCGAATAACAGGAAGATGAAACTAATAAAATGGCAATAGAAGTCTGGTATGGACCCCGAATTGCTTCTCGAGAGAACCAAGCGATCCGTCCGAGCAAAGATTCAAACATGCAAGAAATATCATTTGGGAGGGGACTGCCCAGCCCTGCCTAGAGTCCCACACGAACCGATGTTGTTGTGGCTGAGTGCAGCATTGACCCCCTGGTATAACTTCCACTGCCGTCGGTCTTGTTTGCACAAACAGGTCCCTGGGGATTCCGATATGATTAACCTACCAAGGAGAATTACTTCTCAGTATACAATATACTAGTAGTAGTTGTTGTTGTGTAGTTGACGCCCGGGGATCCTTAGTTAGGGAAAAGGGCGTCTAGCTACTTCAATCTGGTAGTATATACAATTTTTATACCCCTTAAGTGTTCCATAATCCTAGGTAGCTAGCTAGAATAGTTTTATAGTAGTCAATTTGTTTTGGTTTCCTTAGAAGGCATCGAACGTCAATAAAGTATTCTTTGTGTTTCAAGGTTTCTGTGAGTAGTTATCATGGAAGGTAGTTAATTCAGCTACACAACGACTTTTCGCCGCAGTATTAAACAATTGGACCAACTTCATGACAATTGCTCGTCGCGGTAGTAGATATGTAGGTTAGCTTCATAGTAATCCCCTCGGCAGTGCCTTAGAGAAGCAGAGTTTGCGCGGCTAATGGAGCTTGTTTGCTAGGTCCTATCTATTTATTTCAAAACCCAGCAATGTGAAATAAACGGAATGTCTCTCTTAGGGGAGGAGAACAACCAATCCAGGTGGCTTGGCTGATTAATCGAAATGTAAGAAGTAAGTTGGTCATAGAACCTTGCTGCGGAAACTTTATACTTGTGCAATGGCTGATCCCTGTTCCCTGTACGCTCACTCGCAAATATTGATTGCAGCTGACATTACTGATGAAATACCCTGGAGAGTTTGCATAGAATTCATAGTGCATCTAGTTGCCTTCATATAGGCTATAATGCTTGTCTATTGGGTTACGGGGGAGGGGGGGCAGAAGAAGGTTTCTGGCAAAAGACGGCGATTAAAGTTGCTTATCTCCTGTTCTTTTATGCTAAGAAAATTCTTGATTCACGCTACCATGTGCAAATTACTTGATTGATCTTGACTGCTGCAATCGAAACCCCGGGCTAGATCCACAGAAGCTGGCTGCTGAACAATTTCAGAGATTGTCGCGAGTTGATGTGGATGGGAAGGTCGGTGCTTATATGTTACGGCAGAAGGGGTACTGAAATGAGTTGGACCAAGTTGGGTAGATCTTCTTTTCCTTTACAATGTCAGATGGACGGTCATAAATGTTAGATACGTTGGATAGACACCCGCCGTCAACAGATCAAACCCAACTTCATGTTGTCGAAGTCGCAATATAAGTTAGTCAGGTACAGGTGGAGCGACTAAGTATATGCCGCATACTAGGTATCTTGACACTGAATTACGAAGTCCACTTTCATGTACAATGTCAACTCTTGTTTGGGCACACTATCTGAGCCCATAATGTGTAGTCATAATAACAATTCACGACTGAACTGGTTTGCCATCATACGGCTGCTAGAAGCATGGAGAGGTAGTGAATTCCCATGTAACGAGACGATTGTTGGTGGTTGATTACAAACAGTTATCAACATGGGATGACTATTCGGTGTTACTCTCTGATATGAGGTGACGCGCCAAGCATCAGGGGTACGTTTGAGCCGCACTAGAAGCGAAGCCGGGTGCGGCGGGAGTAGGAAAGTGCCGAGTGATCGACTCTGCCCTGGGCATGCTGAGGCGAATTTACCGAGCAGTGTATCGAAACCATGGTTTGGTATGTGACTACTCATGAACGTCCTCCGTCACCCACTTGGCGCCCAAACCCTTCACGCTCTCCACTTTTGTGGTATCAGTGGTCCACCGGCGTCATTTCCATGTTCGGGAGATGTCCCTTGCTCAAGATATGCCGTCACGAAGGCACATATGGCCCTGCAGTACCTATGCAGAGTCCAGGTGCTGTCCCGTCTCTTGTTGATGACATCTCTCGTTGATTACAGAAAATCACGAGTTTCCTATGCTCGGATTCCTCTTCTCCCTGTCTTCTCCGACAACGGGTGGCCAGCAACAGGGACCCGGGACATCCGGGCTCAGAGGACCCGGAGTTGTCCCCACCCGAGACGGCCCGATGATGGACACGAAGTAGAAATTTCTCTGCATATTCACCGCAATATTCCCGGATCCGGTCACCTGTCATTCAAATTTCGGTCTGCGCCTCGCCAAACCCTCTCCTCCACTGCATTTGGTGGTCCCGTTTCCACCTGACTTGGGACATGAGGTGGAAGGGCAGGCGGATTCGGTCCGGCCGAACGTCTGAAGATATGACGCTTGGTGTGACAATTGACGCAATGACGACAACAACGTGATCTTTGATGCTAGTTGATGTGTGGAAAGCCAGCCTTGAAGTGAAGTACATATATCAAAGCCCAACCCGCCTAACATCGTTTGTGGAGCCAATCACTGAATATCAACATCTTGATTACATACTATTGAACACTTTACAATACATACAACCGCCATTATGGCACCCCCGAGCATCCACGAAGAGCATGATGAGATCAAGCAGAGCTCTAAACCTGTGGCCGAGCAGAGAATAACGTTGCTAGCATGCGCCCTGGGCGCTGTAGCAAGTATTGGTGGCTTCATCTTTGGTTATGTCAGGTACTGTAAACTCATGCCTCTTGATAAGAAGCTACTTTCTACACGGTGACTAGAACTGACATGTGTCTTTAGCGGAGAGATCTCTGGCTTCTTCCTCATGAGAGACTTTGGCGAACGCTTCGGACAGATAAACGATGACGGCACAATCGTATTCAGTGCCGCCCGCCAAGGCACCATCACGAGTCTCCTCTGTATAGGCGCCTTGATCGGCGCCCTCGTCGCCGGCAAAATGGCAGATTCCATTGGGCGACGCCTGACCATTTCTGCATCTGCGTTCTTCACCTGCCTGGGCACAGTCATCGAGATTTCATCACAGTCGAGTTGGGTCCAGCCGGCCATCGGTCGCCTCGTCACCGGCGTGAGCATCGGTGCATTGTCCGTCGTGGTACCCATGTATCAGTCTGAGAGCGTCCCGGCCAAGATCCGCGGTGTAGTCGTGTCTACCTACCAGCTGCTTATCACCCTCGGAATCTGGACCGCAGCCATGGTCAACTGGGGCACCGAGTCGTCTTCGTCGTCGGCCTCTTGGAGGATCCCCAACGGCCTCTCCTTCGCCTGGGCTCTTGTTCTTGGCGGCGGTATTCTCTTCCTACCTGAAAGCCCGCGCTACGCCTACTACCGCGGCCGGACTGTGGAGGCACGAGAGACAATCTCCCGACTTACAGGCATGGGGCCAGAGTCTGCCACGGTTGAGGAGCAGATTGCCGAGCTAGAGAAGCAAATCTCCGAGGAGAAGAACAGCACTGCAGACTTCCGCTGGACTGAGATCTTCACCGCCCCACGCATGTTCTATCGCACGACCCTTGGTATCGTCCTCATGGCTGGTCAGCAGCTTACAGGATGCAACTTCTTCTTCTACTTTGGAACCACACTATTCAAGTCCACCGGCATTGAAAACAGCTACACCACACAGATTATTCTTGCATCCGTCAATGTATTCTGCACTATCATTGGGCTGTGGATTATTCAACGTTTTGGCCGCAGGATCATCCTTCTGGTTGGAGCTGGCTGGATGATGGTCTGTTTCTTGTGAGTCGCCACCTTCGTTGTTTCTCAGAATCGGTTGCTAACTTCTATCACAGTATCTACGCCTTTGTTGGCCACTTTGCTATCGACTCCGAGAATCCGATGAATACACCCACTGCCGGCACTGTCCTCGTGGCCTTCTCTTGCTTGGCTATTGCCGCCTTTGCCGTCAGTTGGGGACCGCTCGCCTGGGCTGTAAATGCCGAGCTCTTCCCTCTTCGATACCGCGGTGCCTGTATGGGTCTCGCCACTGCCGCCAACTGGTTTTGGAACTTGTATGTGCCCTTGATCCTATGATTCATGTTGAAGAGACGCTAATGATGATGCAGTTTGATCTCTTTCTTGTAAGGATTGCCACAGCTTTGTGAAGCACGACAAGATTTCTCGAATACTCCTGCTAACATATCTCCCTTCTAGTACTCGATTCATCACCGACGATATCGGCTACCTTTACGGCCTTGTCTTTGCTGGATGTTGCGCCGCCCTCATGGTCATCGTCTTCTTCTTCGTCATCGAATCCAAGGATCGGACATTGGAAGAGATTGACCTGATGTACATCAACAAGGTGAACCCGATCAAGTCGGCTAGCTGGACCAAGGCGGACATCAAGGCAAACCTTAGGGAAGGCCGGGAAGAGGAAAGCTCAGCTTGAGCTACGACCGATTTTGAGATAATGACCTCTTAGAATAACTGTATTATGAAACATTGTAGCATATTATAGCATGGGAGTTTGTATATTGGAAGGTTGGATAAACGTGGTGGATGGTGGGTTTAGATTCCATCTCACTCCTCAGCTATTGGTGATTTATTTATATAATTTACTTCGTCTTATGACTAGACTTTATAGCCTGCTCGTTAATATTAAAAGTAGGCCATTGAAGGAGGTGGGCGATTGACATAGGTGGCGGCTTGGAGCTGACTGTACCCAAAGTGCAGAAATGATTCGTTACCTGCATGCCTACCCAACGAAGAATACCTATTACCCCTCACCAATCTTGATTCATAAATGATACTTTTGTCAATGAATACCTCGTCTATCAGGCCCCTAATTTGGACTTTAAGCTCATAACTATCAAGTGTCATATCTATCTCAAAATGTCTCTGCAGCTCCAATTTGAAGTCACCGCCGGCGCAATCATCTCCGTGCATGTTGTACGCGAGCTCCTCAAGGCATGTCAAGAGGATGACCTACAGCCTCTCACAATGAGCAGCCTAGAATCCTTTGGCCAATGGCTCGCTGTTGATCGCGATCGCTTATCCCAGGGGGAGGATGCTCTAGGTGAGAGCTCCGATAAAAGTCGCTTGATTCGATTCGCAAACAAGGTGTTTCTTGGAACGCACAGCGAAGGCATCATTAGCCAAATGCGCAAGAACCTGCACCTTACGGCCTCCTTTCTCTTCGTCTGCACTTGTACCACTTTAGACCAACCGCAGACGGCGGAATTGGTGCACGAACTCATGAGACTCACCGGTGCAGTGGATCGCAATGGAACTTCTAAGAATGAGGTGTCGAAATTCGTCGAGAGGATTGCGGGCTGCGGGAGCTTCCTACCAGGCGAATCACCGTCAGACGTCCATACAAAAATTGCTTCAGCTGCTGCATCAGCTGGACTGTGGAGAGAGACTCGGGGTGCATTCGATTCTGTGGACATAGGGCAGGCCGCCCAGCTACTCTACGAAGTCTTTGCAGCTATGGCAGATCAAAATGTCAAGCACGTTATCCTGAAAGGAGGTATCGGGTGTATTTGGTTGGCCTCGTTATTGAGTTGGTTGCGGCCACGTGAAACAGTCATATTGGGGCCGCGGAAGAACCAACTCTATCCAGAAACGAGGGAAGCATACGCCGACGACGCCGACCGGCTATGTGTAATCTTGGAGAATGACTCAAGGCACCCTTACGGCTCCTGGACTGTTGAGAAGTGGACGTCAACGTCTGATGAGCCAATCTCTAAGCACACATTGGAACCACTTCCAGATCCAACCAATCCAGCAGGGCCACAGGACTTTCATTGCCCGTTAGGGTCGGCGAGAAGTTGCATATCATGGCAGATTACAGACCCTGAAGCACGAGAAGCAGTCGGCATTCTCGCATCAGTGCTGGTGATATTGGCTGTGGAACGAGCGATGACGAATATCGATAATGGGAAAACGGTCCCCTTCAATGATCTGATCTCTCATTGGTTCCTGAAACAACACACAATAATCATGTCAAGTTTTGGCTGGCCTGGTTTGGACGAAAAACACAGCGAACGTGTGCTAGAGCTTCTTCAAAGCAAGCTTGAGGATCCCCAAAGCAAGCGAGATTTTGTCCCAAGCAAGATTGACTTTCAACGAGGCGGTCCCAGCGATCCCTCATTAGCGTACTTCCTATTTGAGATCCTTAAGGGCTGCAGCACATCGGTCTCAAAGATCAAGACGAAGGAAAATGGCGAAGAAACTGGAGGCTGGAGCCTGGATGTTATCAATATTGCCATCCATCTTGCCAAAGAGGCTCTGACTTTTAGTTTTTGCGAGGCAGAGCCACCGAACCCTCAGTATCATTCACAAGATTATTTTGCTCGGCATGATACCTTACACAAAATGATTGCCAAACATCGTTTGGACTATTCAGAGCTGAAGAGGCTTTCTCTTTCTTCGATTTTGGGTGTGGCCCCTCACAAGATAAACCCAACCGATTTGGCTGTATCCCGTCAAGGATACGTTGCCTACACGCCCTTGATAGATGGCAAAGGAGAGTTCACAATGTCTCGACGGGCCGCGGCATGTTTCTGTGTTTCCCCAGGGCTCTTGAGAGTCAGAGATACCCCAGATCTCTTCCGTCGCTTAGCAGAAGGAGCCATTCGCCGATCACTTGGTAAGAAATCGCAAGGCACGAGTCGAATCTCCTTGATCGGGTCAGACGGCCGCGTACAGCGCCTTGATGAGACGATGGCGTTTGATGACATGGAATCAACTGTTGAACATCTCATTCGTACGGAAGACGACATAATCTACCTCGCTTCTGAAATTGTCAGCACCGGAGCCAGTCAACGTGGAGATTTGGCACGTGGTGTAGGCTCCGCCCTTGCAAAAAACGCGACGGTCAAGAACAGATATCCTGTCTCCTGGAATCAATCTTTCACGGTAATCATGGGGGCCATCCATGTAGACAAGGATACCTCACGACCCGCACAATTGGAAAAGATTGCAGAAGGATGGATAACAAGCGGAAGATTCGATAAGTTTAAAATTCACTGGCGACGTGTTGGCGACGAGTTTGAGGGTGATGAAGCATGTATTACGAGGACTGCAGGGAATGCGCTTCTCCGTTTCTTTGAGGCTGGGCGGCTTACGAAATTGCAATCGGTACCCACTGTAGTTTTCATTAGGCAGGGCTCTGTTTCCTTGATGCATTGTATGAAAGTCGCTATCGAGGCATGTGAAAGAGAACGTTACGAGCGCTGGATAATCATCGCATAGTATGTTCAACTGGGGAGTTCAATAACTCATATCTATATCGTCTATGTTTCCTTATTATTATCACAAGGGTTAACAACCTCTTAAGCTAGCTGATAAAAATACACACTATTTTGCTAGAGACAAGGTTATTGAAGCTTAGTTGAAGCTTAGATGATCTTGCCCCAAAGTGGTTGTTTAGGTTGTCAGGGGTTTATCAGCTCTTCAGCTGCCACGAGGTCTGACCATTATTGGCTGGTGGCTTCCTCGTGCTACAGGGGCCGCCTGGGGACCGTTCGGTGACCGTTCAGGGCTTCAGGGATAAACGGAGACGCTATTTGATACGGGATCGCGTTTGAGGGGCGGCTGAAACCACGAGATTGGAACCGTCTCGTCTCGCCTGTCCCCAATCCACCGCTTTCCAGCTGAGACAGCGATTCTGCCCTCTCCGTCCTCCTCACACCCGCCCGACGCCTCGTTGAATCGCGATAACCCACCACTCTCTTGGAACTGGATCGCTGCATACTTGCACTCACGACAACCCGAACCCCCGAGTCTAGCCTCGCCTCCAAAAGCTTCGCCATGCCCGCCACAAGCAGCACCACCGGCAGCGCGCCCCAGAAGCAGGCCCCAATGGAGATGGGCGCCCGCGACGGCATCGTCGTCGCCCAGCCGGTGAGTTGCTCTTTGCCCGGGCCCCCACCACAAAAACACTTCCTAACACCCAGACAGACCGCCGAGCCTCTCCCCAGCGCCGAACAGCAGCAGCTGTCTCTTCGCGGAGGTGAGCTGAACTGCGGCTTCTCCTGCTGCGGCGGATCCTGCCGTTTCCACAAGAGCTGCTGCTAGGCGCCGACGAGCGACGCATTGCGACGAGACGAGACACCATACGAGACGGACCACTATTTTCTCTTCTTTCTACCGAACAAATTTCTTTCCTGGGCGCATTTCCTGCCTACGAGTCCTACGAGCGAGCGAGCGAGTAATATGCGGTGGATTGCAGGAGCGGACGATTCGGGCTGCGGATTCGATGGCAGTCTTTTAGAGAAGACAACATGGCATGCTGGCGACTCTGTTTGCCATGTTGGTCCTGAAGGGGGGCTTCGATGCTTTGGACGAGATATATACCTTACGAATACATAAATTAACGACTCTTGAACTTCCCACCCTCGTGCGCGGTGATGATTCCAATCTCCTCGAAGCATCAGGCATACTCTCTCTGTGGGCTATAGACAACTGGCTGCTGCTGGTAGAATCTAGCCTCCGGTTTGGTAGCCATAGGCGTATGCATCTCCTGGCCGCTCCCGAGATATATCGGCTGCTGTCCGTAGAATATGCCCTCCGACACGGTAGAAGGCGATACGGTAGATACCGGGGTGTGCATCTCCTGCCCACTCCCTAGAAGCCCGGCGTTCTCGCTGGGAGGAGGCGAAGGCTGGTTCTCGTTCTCTTCGTTAGCCCCATCCGATCCTGGCGGGTTAAAGAAGCAACCGAACAGCCTTGAAGGACCGCAATGGTTAGACTATATCAGGGCATGTAATGAGCGATAGATAATGGGGGCTGGGACGAACAGAAAGGATCCGAGCAGGACGCCCCCTAGGATTGCCGACCCTACGGCGGCTTTCATTCTCTCTTGGGCTCCCAAGTCTATCGCGCAAGCCTGTTAGTATTATACTCCCTAGTAGAGGCATCAAGATGTGTAGGTACCGCTTTCGAGACCCAGCCCAGGCGAGCCGTCACCAGAGGACGTTGGCTGAGGAGCTCCCGTCCCGTCACTGCGGGTCGAACGGGCTGTGCTATAGGTTGAAGTTCCACTCTCTGGGGGCCGCGTGCCGGTAATTGTGTCCATCGAGACGGGGATGGTGGTCCTGGACTCGGCGCAAGTGTAGTAGACGTACGACTGCGGAGACCAGGTGTAAGTGACGCACGCGCTCTTGGAGCCGGTGCTGTGTCGAGGCACAAGCCATATGGTCAGTATTCGCTTTAGAGTAGGTCCTATAAGGAAGACGTACCAGATCCTGGCGAGGTCATCGCTCGTTGATGTGTTTTCCAGGCATGTCGTGTAGATCTGACAGCCATTACTGCCGCAGCATCCAGCGTACCCATTCCCAATCCACGACATTCGGATGAAGCCACAAGTGTCGTCGCATGTCAAGGACCGGGAGGCGTTGCCTGGTACCAGAGTAGTGTTAGTGGCGTTCTTTGAATTGCATTCTCAAGGTCCCAGTATGTCTGTATCCTGCCTTGAATGTATCCACAAGTATTTGCTCCGGCACGTAGCTCAAGCGCCGGTGCGTCTGTGGTTGCGAGGCTCGGCAGGGCGGTGATGGTGCCATCGAGGGGGGCGGTCGTGGATGCAGACAGTTCAGAATGCGCCGTAGCTAATTGCCAGAGGCATAATATGAAGGCAGCAAATATTATCATTACGTTTCCCATCGTGCCAGTCGTGGGGATCGTTGTCTAGAGTTGAGTGGCATCAATCCAGCAAAGTAGATGGGCAGTCTCTCATATCTGCCCACCTCGCTTGAGCAATTCTTGCTCCTCCACCCTCGTCCGATAGCCCTGAGACAACCCTCGATAGAGTTGGTGTGGAGGAAGCAGCTGGACGATGATCTGGGCTTGTTATAGTCTAGGCAAAGGCGCCATCTGGGCCGTTGAATGGACGCCACTTCAATAGACAGATGCATGTCAGCCGCAGTGTGCCACACATCCCTGTTCGAGGCCTTGCGAGGCGTCTTTATTTGCTTGGCTCAACCTTTTCTTTTTCATGGTTGATTTATTCTTCACCTTGCCCGTTTACTATAGTTCGCTGAGTCCCTCCCTCCCTCCACCATGATCGCCTTCACATCACATCTTCGGATGAGCATGAACAGCAATGGCGGACTGCTACAAGCTCACCGCCGTGGACGACTTCACCAAGTATGTCGAGGCCTTGTCGGACGAGACGGGGTATGAGGACAGCAGACTCCAGGAATGCAAGACTGTGATCTGCCAGGCCATCTACGGCATCGGCAACCCAGACATCTCGGGCATTGGCGTAACCAAACCTCCTCACCACCACTATCAAGATGAGATATTAACAAGTGAATAGGTCGCCATCGGCTACATCATAGGGATCGCCCTCGGCTTCACCCTCGCCATCCTCCTCCTCCTCCAAACCCGCCTCGACCCCCCGCTCCGATCTGTCCCCTCGCAGGTCCTCCTTACCGGCCTCCGCAGCTTCTTCAACGCCGCCGCCTTCTTCTCCATCGCCGTCCAGATCGCCACCATCTCCCTCCTCGTCCAGAAGGACTTCGGCATCGCCACCTCCGACTTCGGCGCCATCGAGGCCCAGATCGCCCAGGCCGTCTCCGTCGTCTCGTTGCTGCCCCTGCTCTACCCGGCCCTCATACTTAGTGGCATAGACTCCTCCCGGTCTAACCCTCGCCTCTTCCTGCTCAACCTCGCCGCCGCGCTCTCCTTCTACCCCTTCCTCTCCCGCAACCTGCACGCCTTCGGGCCGGACGACTCCCGCCCTATCGGCGACGGCTCGGGCAGCGACGTATCAACGGCCGACTGGAGCAAGGTGGAGAGGCTGTGCTTCGCTGACGGGCTCGACGCCCTGCGCGGCGATACACTATACGCCGCCATCCCGCCCCTCGAGCTCGCCGCCTCGCTGGTCGTGTACCTCGCCACGCTCTGGCAGATGTGCGGCCTCGTCGGCGCGCACTACTCCCCCTCCCCCGTCAAGGACCAGAAGCGACACGCCGTCGTGGTCAGCGCCGGCCGCGTCGTCCTCTGGCGGAGGAGGGTGGGCGAGTGGCTCCGCGGGCACCGGCTCTGGGCCGCGCTGCTCATGCTCGTCCCGCTGGGGCTCGCGGCCCCTCTGCTCTGGGTCATCTTCCACCTGCGGGGTCTGCAGCAGGAGCTGGCGAGGAACGTGGAGGAGGACTACGGGGGGAACAACTGGGGGTTTGGGCAGATTGTGGCTGTTGTTTTGTACCTCCCTGTGGCGGTTGATATGTTCTACCGGGGGAGGTTTGGATACCAGGTTTGATGGGAGGTCCTACTTGTGGGTTTTCAGCGTGATTGGAGGACGAATGTTTGCGATGAGGATTAATTATTAATTAGACTTGTTTGTTTTACATGAGTGTAATCATCGCTAACGCTTATGCATCCTTTTCCCGTCAAATCCAGCCCTATTACCATGATGCAACTTTTATCCCGCTCTACAGAGCAACGAGGGCAAAGACGCCAGCAGCGACGGCGGCGAAGATGCTGCCAGAGGTCTTGACACCGGCACTGCCAGGAACAGTGGAAGACGAAGCAGTGGCAGAGGCAGAGGTCTGGCTAGATCCAGAGGCGGAGCTGGCAGGAGTAGCCGCACCAGTCTCAGAGGCAGTGCCCGAGGCAGCGGTGGTTCTCGAGGCGCTGCCGCTGGTGGTGCGAGCGCCGCTGCTGCTCGCGGCGGTCGTGGAGCAGACGGGCAGGTCGGTCTCGGTGAGGCTGCCGCCGAGGAGGCTGACGAGGTCGCTGCACTGCTCGAGGACGGAGGAGACCTGGCTCGAGTGCGACTCGTACCAGGTCTGGACGTCGGAGGCGTACTCCTGCAGGTCCGAGGACAGGCTGGCGGCGAGGGTCACCTCGCAGGGGCTGGCGAGGGCGCTCTGGAGCTCGCCGTCGAGGGCGGCCGTCAGGAGGGACGGGGGAGGGGTCGGGAGCGCCGTGTAGAGGTCGATGGCGGCGGAGCTGCAGCCGGGGGCGATGGAGACGTTGTCGAGCTCGTCGGCCTGGCGGACTTCGAGGTCGCGCTTGAGCTTGGGCAGGGCCAAGGGGTGGGTGGCCGAGACGGCGGCCACGGCGGCGGCGAGGACGAGGAGACGGGACTGCATCTTGGAGAGGCTTGTGGTGATGATGTCTGGGGTTGAGGAGGAGTGGGAGGACGAGATCAGTGTGGGTGTGACACGTTACACATGGAGAGTGGAATCGCCTTGCTTTATATGAAATAACAACAGCAGACTGCTACCATGTCTGTACATCGAGATCTCACTCGCTCGCTACCGAATCCCGGGCATGAATCCACTTGCTGGCATTGCATTGGGCTGCCTGATAGAGCCTGGGCTGACGTCTGACAGCCAGCCCTGAGCCAAGGAACCAGGAACAGGTGAAAACTGCAAGGGCCCATTGTATGAGCCCACCCCTAACCGGCCTCAGCTAGCCCACCGGCTGCAGCTAACCGTCGTACCTTGCAGATTCACAAATTTCGGTGCAGAAGAGGATGGTATCGTGATGATGGGGCGTGATTCTGCGAGTGCCACGCATGCTGTTTATCCTCTGTTCTCGATAGAAGGTTACCCCGTGCTACTCATGTCGCTGGATTATGCTCTCGACTATTGAAAGCAACCCGGTCTGTGGCTCAACGCCACTCGATGGGAGGCGAGTCAGTTTCAGCTGTCGTGAAATCCACCGGTGGCCTTGGCTTGGATCTGTCATGCACTTGCGGGGCCTAATTAATCGGCCAAATGTCACCCCAGTAATTTCCTTCTCCTTCTTATTCTGTTCTTCGGTTACTCCAGGCTTCTAGACGGGCCTTTTACATGGAATAGGCGGAAAAGGGGGACTGGTGCTGACGGGCGACCGTAGCCATTGGCTCAATTCCAACAAATTCGTCGGCATCTTCCGGCTGGAAATGGAGCCACCTTAGCCCTAAGAAGTAAGAAGTAGTAAACAATTACAAAGTATTCCTGTGACTTAATACTATGTATCCTCCGTGGCTGCATTCACGCTCATACAAATGGGGGTTGTAGCTGGATGATTGTTCCCCCTACCACGAGGCTACATCGCGACCCTAGCCTTGGTTGCCGCAGTCCCGAGAGTATTGATCAAGGAGATTCGACGGCGGGCAACAAGTCATAGTAGGTAGGCTTCCAAGCTCTCTCTAGGCAACAAGGGGAGATTTGGTATGTTCTATATGCGCGTGACGTTTGACTGGCCCGATGACACGCAGCAAATTATTATCATGGCGAACGTTTGGGAGCTACCTGCTGTCTGCTACATAAGTCTGATCAGCCACTACCACTTGCTCAAAGACATGAAGAGAGATATGTGGCAAAGCAGGTAAACTTCCTAGTTAGGGAGAGATGATCTCTCTAGTACTCGAAAGAGTCACTGATATGATTCTACTTATGTATCTAGATTGAGCTTCGACGAGCCTCTGTTTCGTATCATGTCTCTTGTCCTGACTTGGGATGGAGCTGTAACCCGGGATATCTAACGCGTGTTCTAGGTGCACGTAAGCACCTGGTGACACTGAGGCTCTCAAGAAGTAATATTTCCAACGAGTAAAAGTGAGCACGCCGTACAAACCCATTGCATGTTCCAAACATGAAAGAGTGGCTACGCAGTCCCCATTCAAACCACAGGAAGAAAAGACATCAACTAAGCCTACTCCTCCGCATTCCGCGACGACACTTCTCGGTACCAATTCTCCTTGGGATCCCCAAGACACTCACCCACAGTCACCGTCCTGAACCCCTTCCTCTTAATCGTCTCCAACATATGCCTCACCAGAGTATACACCCCATAATACACGGTATCATGTTCAATAACCAACAAACTACTCGTCGCCGGGTCAAGCGGCTCAACCCTCCCATCCCATATCCCAACCGACTTCTTAATCTCCTCCGGCCCGTCATTCAGGTACCCCGCCGTGTTGAGATCAAAGTACGTGACGTGGTACCCCAGCTCCGCCAGCCACCCGTCCGTCGTCGCGTCGCTCATCGAGTGCGGCGGCCGCATGTACGTCGGGAAGTAGCCCAGCAGGTCCGCCAGTGCGACCTCGTTGAAGAGGATCTGGTTGCGGAACTGCGACGGGGTGATCTGTGTTAGTTTGTGGTGCGCCCACGTGTGGCTCGCGATCTGGTGGCCGTCGTCGGCCATGCGGCGGATCAGCGCCGGCCAGGGCGTCGAGGGGTCGTTGATTGCGCCCTTGCCTGCGTTGCGGCCTACGACGAAGAATGTGGCCTTGGCGTCGTATTCCTACATAAACCTCGCTCAGTAATGTTCTTTGTTTATGCGTTGAGTGAAGGAGGGGGTTACCGCGAGGAGATCTAGCAGATCCTCCGTGTAGTTCCACGGGCCGTCGTCAAAAGTCAAGGCGATACCTCCCTTTACCGTACAATCGTATATGGCCTTGCCGTACGGGACGGAACCGACCTTGGGACGAGGAACGGAAGACGTGTCAGGTCCCTCTGGGCGGATGTTGGCGTCACACGAAGGGCCGTAGTCGATCTGGCAAGTGGGAGCTCTGCAGAACTGGGAGCCTGTACCGCACCATCTAGAGCGATTCCCATCAGACTTGATTCTTAGAAAGCCTCTGAAGATTCATAAGTAAAGGATGTCTGCGTCTTACCCTCCACTGGAGCAACACTGGGCCTGGGGACAGGACCGTGCAACTTCAGGACCGCATCTCCGATCTTGTCTGGCTTGTAGCGCAGGTAGGGCGGGGGATTGGGCTAGATCCGCAGCTGGCAGGGTGACCTGTAGTGTCCGAGCGGTCAGAGTCAATAAGGTTACACAACGAAGCCCCTTCATTTTCGCTTGGGATGAGGTAATGGTGGTGGATGAGAACGAGATGGCAGGCAAAGGATACAGGTGAGGTGGCGCCTCTTATAGATGTGTGTCCTTGCGTGACATAGTTCGTATTGATGTTTACTTGCATTGATATTCTCGGGTCTTTCCCAATTGAAGATAAATAAGGTCTGATGTTGCAGTTGTTCTTCCTGGTACAACATCAATGAGCCGATGTGCTGTATACCACCGCCAATTAGACGTACCTACCCTACATCCCGGAATGCGATGCGGAGCGACTCACGATCTAGGGCAGGAATTGCAACAGCAAAAGGATAGATGCTACCGGCTTGTTGCATCATTTATCCCGAATGCCCGAATGCGACGTTTATCGACATGAATGTCCCGGTCCCCAGGGAAGATAAGGAGAGTGGGCATAAAGCGATGTAAGATGCATGGTGCAAGGATATATTGAGGGCATATACGAGCTGTCTTGTTCCCGCAGAATTTCTACTTCACTGTTAAATTTTTCTTCTGCCTTCTATAACCTACATCATAGCTACCGCTCGGCATAAATAATGCCCGTTTTCGTGCAGATCCTTCGTATGCTCTGTAAACAAGGTTGCACGATGCATCAAAAATCGGAAGATTGTCTCAGCTCGGATATTGAGAGGGATATTGAGAGGGGAAGAGAACTAATTTGCCAATGCTCCGTCTTTCATGCCGAATGTTCGTTTCCCCAATCCAATTGAAAATCTTCCATGGAGCTGCGCCGCGCAGAGCTAATGTAGATCTCGCTCATTCTGTCCTTTGACGTCGGGGTGGCTGGGGCATATGGCAGATACAAAAGGTCCAATGCCATTAATTAATATGCGACGCGGGAAACAATCTGCGCCGATTCCCACCGGTAGTGGTCGGGACATTTGGAGAGTGATCTGCAGGCAATTCAGCTACGCCAAGCTCGATCAGACATCAATATGCCGAACATCATCTTGGCATATGCTGACCTCATGCCAGGCATGTCGCCAATTGCGCTCACGAGACCAACAACAAATAAACACACATTCGTCAAAGGGCAGCGAGAATGAACAGTAAACGAGGGTATATGATTCCAAGCTATGCTATGCTATACATGGTATATGATATAAGCTGCACGAGATATCCGGCTGATGCAATCCGAGGCCAAACAGGGCTAACCGCCCTACCAGAGAGGTAAAAAAATCCAGAGTCTCAGACTCCATGAGAAATATTATATACGATACGAGTAGCTGGCTACCGTGTAGGGTATAGAGACTAGAATTTTCTTTTATTATACACTTTTTTTCGTTTAGGCCTTGGTCTCGCTGACGGGAACATCGGCCTCGGTCTCAGAGTCAGAGTCCTTGGCGAGGGTCTGTTCGTCAGTGAGGACGGGGTTCCTCAGGGCAAAGGCGAAGCCGATGAGCAGCGTGCAAAGGGCGATACCGCAGATGCAGAGCAGACGCTGGGTCTGGCCAAAGGCGTGGACCATGCCCTGGCGCTCGGGGGTGTCCATGGCGTACAGGGGGGCGACGCCGGCGGGGTAGCCGTAGACCTCGACTGCGAGGGTCTGGTTGGTGAGCTGCTCGGAGAGGTAGCCGGGAAGGACCTGGGTGTAGATGGCGCCAGAGACGGCGTTGCCCAGGGCGGAGCCGATGTTGTAGGTGGCCAGGTAGATACCGGTCATGACAGCCAGGTTCTCGTGCTTGAGCTGGACCTGGAGCGAGGCCTGGGCGGGGTAGGGGAACATGCCACCGGCAACACCGAGGAGGACTTCGGCGGCGATGACACCAACCTTGGCGTTGCTGCCCTCGGTGTGGCTACGGAAGTGGATGAGGAGGCCGAAGGCGACCATGAAGAGGGAGGTACCGACGAGGATGACATATTTGAGGCGGCGGATCTTGAACACAACGAGACCCATGATGGGACCGACGATGACACTGCAGAAGGAGTAGAGACTGCTGACGCGGGTGGCCATGTTGATGTCGAAGTCGAAGGCAACAATGAGCATGTTGTAGAGGTAGTCTCCCTGCATGTACCAGACGAAGTTGAGCATGAGAGCTATTCCGAGGGCGGCCCACACACCACGGTCCTTCATGAGGCGGAAGGGGACAAGGGGATGGGGCGCCCTGAGCTCCCAAATGATGAAGAAGGGGATGCAGCAGAAACCAATGACCAGGGGAGCGATGACGCTGGCCGACTTCCAGCCATTGCTGGCAGCGAGGGTGAAAGGGACGAGGATGAGGTCGAAGACGGCAATGACGAGAATAATTCCGGGGACGTCGAGCAGCCAAAATAGCTGGAC